CCCGCCAGGGCAGCCCTTTCCGGTAGGAGAAAGGGCCCTGGGAAGGAGTGTTGGCCACCTACCCTGCCTGCAGCCCCTGAAGGCATCTGCTCTGCGCTCCACAACCTCAGAAAAGCCACCTTGTTCCCAAGGCCAGACGTCCCACATGTGAATTTCTGATGTGGGTGACAGGTGGCCTCGAAATATCCCTTTAACTTCCTCCAGCCTCGTGACTCCTCACCTGAAATGAAAGGTTGAAAATTAAAGCTACAGGTGCCCACCAGGGAGAAGGGAGGAGGGACAGGGAGGATGAGAGGAGGGACAAGGAGAAGAAGGGAGGAGGGACAGGGAGGGTGGAGGAGTGACAGGGAGGATGGGAGGAGGGACAGGGAGAAGAAGGGAGGAGGGACAGGGAGGATGAGAGGAAGGACAAGGAGAAGAATGGAGGAGGGACAGGGAGGATGAGAGGAGGGACAGGGAGGGTGGAGGAGGGACAGGGAGAAGAAGGGAGGAGGGACAGGGAAGGTGAGAGCAGGGACAGGGAATTCCCTCAGCTCCATAGGGAATCCCAGGCCAGCCTGATAAATTGACGTCTGACGATATATTAATTGCTGGGCTGCGGAGACAAACCATGACAGTCTGGGCCTTAGAAGACAACAAATGTTTCTGATGGTTTTGAAGGCCGGAAGCATAAACTCCAGTGTCTGCAGGCTTGCTTTCCTCTGAGGATGCCATCTGTGGCTTGCGGATGGCCAGGCCTCAGGAGCCTCTGTGTAGGCATCTCACAGGCTGGACTCAAACTTGCTGTGCAGCCAAGTGCAGGAGGAGATCATGGGATTCCAGGTGTGGCCCCAACACCTGCTCCATGGTGCAGATCATAGAATTTTAGATCTGCCCACCACACCAGCTCCCATGGTGCAAACACTGTACTCACCCAGCCACACCCCAAGCCCTTGGTTTGCAGATGCAGACCCTCATGTACGAGTAAAGACAGTGCAGCTGGCAGCAAGGATGGGCGGTGAAGGGGGCTCCGAGACACCAGCGGCTCCACCCCTGGTCTGACACCCGGCATCTCTGCTACAGGTAAATTCGGACGTCACGTCTGCTTTCTAATGCATGGCATCACTGGGAACATAACAGTGATCCGGCCTGTACCTTTTACCCTTACTGGCCTACCTAAAACTGAGTTTCAGTACATTCACACCACAGGTCAGGGCTGCCTCTGGGTGTGGGTGCAGGGAACACAGCTGGGTGCTTCCCACTAGGGTTGAGATGTTTTTTTTTCTACGCATAATGAACAGGGCTGTTCAGAGAGTAGAGGGGAGACAACAACAGGCTGGAGTAAGAAGGTCACTGTCACGGGGAAATCAGGTGGGGACAGGGACAGGGATGCAGGGAATGAGGAGAGCTGTAAGAGGACGTCCAGGGGAGGGGCAGCTCTGCACAGCTCCCTGACAAGCAAAGCATCCTTGGTGCCGCCTGGTCGCTGTCCCGGAACGCCCTCTGCAGTGAAGACATGAGCGAATCTGACTTCTTGGGCAGACGTTTCTCCTTCCACCAGCCCCTAGCTTTGTAATCTCTCCACTACCCTGCTTGGCCAGCAAGTGTTGTACCCGTGCCGTCACCAAAACTCACACCCACCTGTTCTTCATTGCTTTGGGGTTGTTGCTGCTGTAGCCGAGGCTGACCTTCAAGCATCAGCAATCCTCCGACCTCAGCCTCCTGGGAGCTGGGATCCAGGTGTGAGCCACTATACCTGGGAATGAACAAATGAGTCAGCTCCGTCACACAAGTCGTACCTACAAGAGGACAGTGCTTAATGGTGGCTAGTGATTAAGTAGTTGAGGTCCGAGGTGGTTTGAACGGGGACGGCCCCCACAGCTCATGTGTTTGAATGCTTGACCCAGCTGGTTGACTGTTTGGAAAGAATTAGGAGGTGTGGCTTTGCTGGACGGGGTGTGTCACAGGGGGTGAGGGACTTTGAAGTTTCAAAAGCCATTCCCAGTGTTCTCTGCCTCCTACTTTTGGACCAAGATGTGAGCTCTCAGGGGTTGCCTCCTCCATGCCTTCACTGTGTTAGGATAAACTCGAACCCTCCGAAACCATTAGCTCAATTAAATCTTGTTTTTATAAGTTGCCTCGGTCACAGGGTTTTCTCACAGTAATAGAGAAGTAACTAAGGAAGGGCAAGAGGGAGAGCTGGGAACGCAGCCCAGCGGTGTTTAGCTGAGTGTGGTGGCATGTGACTGCTGTCCCGAGACCTTGGGAACCCACCTAAGAGCTTAGAAGTTCCAGCTTAGGAGACTGAGATGAGAATTTAGGTGTTCTAGGCTAGTATGGGCAACACACCAAGACCCCATCTCAAAAGCAAGATGAATAGTGGCTATTGACGACTTATTTTGGAATAAAAGCGTACTTTTGTTTCCATTTGTAAAACTCCTTAGTTCTTCCCTCGAAATGCGCTCTCGTTCAGAAACAATTTCATCGGCTGCAGAGACAGCTCAGCAGTTACAAGCACTGGCTGCTCTTCCATAGGACCCGGGTTTGATTCCCAGCACTCACACGGTGGCTCACAAACATCTGTACCCCTAGTCTCAGGGGACCTGGGATCCACTGCCATCTTCTGGCCTCTTGGGTCCGGGAATGCACATGGTGGTGGACATACACTTACATACATAAAATAATAAAAATAGTTTTTAAAGAAAGAGGCTAAGAGTGTTCACTGCCTTCCAGAGACCACAAGTTTGGTTCTGGTACCCATATCAGATAGCTCACACCTTCCTGTAGCTCCAATTCCAGAGGATCAGTGTCCTCCTCTGGGCTTCATTTATGCTGCACACACGACACATATGTGGCACACCACACACACACACACACACACACACACACACACACACGAGGTACTGTTTGTTGCCTTCAGGTCCCCAAAGCAGGCTTTCTCACTCTGAAATATGATGCCCCATGAGCTCAGAGTGCCTCTCCCAAATATCGTGTCCCTCAGTGTGGGGGTGTCCATCAGGGCAGGTGTCATCGTCCTGTGGAGACAAGGAAACTGACACAAGTGTGCTGACACTCATCCCAGAGCTCTGCCAGCTGCAGCATCCGCGGACAGGACAGGCTGACTCGTCAGCCCCCAGCAGGAGAGGCAGGGAGGCACGCATTCCAGCGCCGGCGTAGGGAAGAGTGTGTGCATGTGTGTGTGTGTGTGTGTGTGTGCATGCATTCGTGCATGTGTAATGTGTGTGTGTAGTGTGTGCGTGTGGTCTGTGTGTGATGTGCATGCATGTGTGGTGTGTGTGGTGTGCATGCATGTGGTGTGCATGCATGCAAGTGTGGTGCATGTGCTTGTGTGTGTATGTGTGTGTGCGTGTGTGTATGTGTGTGAGTGCATGTGTGCATGCGTGTGTGTATGTGTGTGTGTGTGGTGTGCATGCATGCATGTGTGGTGGGTGGGTGTGGTGGGTGTGGTGTGCAGACGTGCAAGTGTGGTGCGTGTGCATGTGTGTATGAGTTTGTGTGTGTGTGTGTGTGTGTGTGTGTGTGTGTGTGTGTGTGTGTGTGTGTCCTGGAGGAAGAGGAAGCGGTCTGAATGCACTGGGAAATGAAGAGACCACTGTGCTGACAACGAGCTCGCAGACAGACCAGGAAGCAGAGGAAGCTCCCAGAGAATTAAATCTGTAGCGCTGGCTGCCTATTATTACTCTCTGCACGCAAGGGTGAAATGAAGACAGACCGGGTGGTGGGCACAGGGTGCTCTCCAGGCCCCAGCTGGAGATGGAGTTGTGTCAGGAATGAGCATTGATGGGATTGATTGACAGGAACAGTGGGAGAATCTTAGCCAGATTCCAAACGGGAGCACGAGGGAGAGCGGGCGTGGCTGGGGTACAGCTCCGCTGGAAGGCTGCCTGTCTAGCGCGTCTAAAGCCCCTGAGTTCAATCCCCAGCACCTCGTGAACTAGACGTGGTGGGACATCTGCACTTGGGAGGTGAAGGCGGAAGGATGCTCGGGTCATTTTCAACCATAGAGCTGTCTAAAGGCCAGCCCAGGCTGTGTGGGCCATGTCTCAGCAACACCAAAACAAAATAAAACAAACAAAAACACAAAGGGGCCGTAGAAATGACTCAGTGGCCGAGAACACACACACTGCTCTTGCAAAAGACACAAGTTCAGTTCCTAGCACCCATGATGGGCGGTTGACAGCTGACTGTAACCCCAGCTCCAGGGAGATATGAGTCCTCAGGCCTGGTTGGGGGGCTGCATTCACATTCACATGTACATAATTAAAAATAAACCTTAAAAAAAAACACTGTAGCAGAAATGAATGAGAAACAAGGTTGGGTGGGTTTGGACCAGCCGTGGATCTGGGAGGAGGTCGGTGGAAGGATGGCTACGATGAAAATACGAAGTGTGAAATTCCCAAAGAATTAATAATAATAATAATAATAATAATAAAACCACAAGAGCTGAAGCGGGGGAGAGTGAGGGCGGGGAGCTGATGCTGTGGCTGAGCGTTTAGCTGCCGCCGGCGGGCAGAGGGAAAGGGCCAGTGTCTGGGGGCCTGGGAGGAGCTGCGGCTCTCCCTGTACCTCTTGGTCTCTGCTTGGGGAAAACAAGGAGGCCAGGAGGAAGCAGAAAAAGCGGGCTTCCTCAAGTGAGAACAGGGGAGAGCTGCTGGCGCTTTCAGTGTGGCGTTCCTAACTCAAAGGATAAACCAGCTCCTAAAAGAGCATCCCCGCGGCGGCGTGTGCCCCTCGGCTGCCACAGGCAGGCAGCAGGCACCGGGACCACGCTGAGGGGTGCTGCCCAGTGGCTGCCAGATGCCTTCGAAGATGGGTGGAAACTCGAGGGGCTCTCACAGCTTGCCCGAGACCCCTATTAGTGAGAGCTTGAGACCTGGCTTGCGTCCTGCTGGCCTCCGGGGCTGCAGACTGTCACCTCGCCGCCGGGGATGTGTGACGCAGCCCCCAGCTACCCTCAGGTCCGCCCCAGACTTGAAATGCAGGTTCCCTCGCGATCAGCCGGTCTCCGGCTGGGAGCTTCTGCGCTTTCTTGCCACAGCATCTAAAGATAGGCTGCCTCACAGGAAACCAAATGCTATTGGCTAACTTCGCAAATAAAGATGCCCTCAGAGAGAGGGAAGTGTAGGCGTCTGGTGGAGTTTATGTGGGACTGGGGGACTAACTGGCTTTTCCTGTAGAAGTTCCGTCCCCATCTGCCCAGGTAAGTGCGGAGGACTCCTCCCACACCTGGGGTGGGGCGATCCGGCGCAGCCAGGGTACCGATGCAGTCTGACTCCTGTACCCATTTTCCTGAAGATGCAGATAAAACAGGGATGGAGAGTCTGTGATTAGCTCTTTTGCACACCCCCGAAATGAAGTGTGAATAATTTGTGAATAATTGCATTTTAGGATTGTGGAGAAAGGTTCGGGTAGAACAATACCAGGAAGGGGGGGGGAGTCTCTTGATACAAAATCACATTTGGGTGATAGGAGATATTGGTGTTTTTTGGTTTGGTTTGGTTTGGTTTTTGGTTTTTCGAGACAGGGTTTCTCTGTGTTGTTTTGGAGGCTGTCCTGGAACTCACTCTGTAGACCAGGCTGGCCTGGAACTCACAGAGATCAGCTTGCCTCTGCCTCCCGAGTGCTGGGATTAATGTCGTGCGCCACCAACACCCAGCTCGTAAAGATTAAAATTCATACCGTCAGTCGGACTCTGTTTCATGCCTTTAGTCAAGCACTTGGGACGCTGAGGCAGGAGGATTGCTACAAGTTTGAGACCAATATAGGTTGTATAATGAGTTCCAGGCCAGTTTGGGCTTCCACCTGAGACTCTATCTTAAACAATAACAACGACAGAAACTAGTTTTGATAGTGTTGATGGTTTCACTCCTTTTTTTAAAGTGCTTGTTCTCCAGAGACCCACGCGTGAGTGTGTGTAGATGAAATTAAATAGCCTAGTTTAGTCATGAAGTAGGAGACAGATGAAATATTAACTGTGAGTTGACAATCCCTGGACCTGAGTGGCAGGTGCTGGGTGGTTCCCCTGGTTGTGTAGAGGCTTGAGAATATAAAATAGGAATGCAGTGCTGAGAATGTAGCTCTGTTGATAGAGTGATTGCCTAGGAACCAAGAAGCCCTGGGTCCAATCCCAGCACCACATAAATTAAGCATGGTGACACACGCCTGTGACCCCAGCACTCAGGAAATAGAGGCAGGAAGTTCAGAGGCTCAGTGCCACCCTTGGTGCGTAGGGATTCTGAGACCAGCCTCGGTTTTATGAGACCCTGTCTCTAATAACAATAGTGATGACGTCGGTGATGAAAACAGACGTTCAAAATGACGCTGGCACTCTTTACTATAAACGTGTGTTTATATGGAGAAAAACTAAGAGCAGTGCCTGAATCTGCAAAGTTGTGTAATTTCGTGGATTTTTTTCTTCCTTTTCTTATCATTTTGGTAACATCTTCACTTGTTACAATGAACAGTTATTGCATTTATAATAAACTGGGTACAAACTCATTGCTCAGTTTCATAAATGTTCATAACCATGGCTCCAGGCTCAGATGTCTGAGCCTCTAGGAAGTGTGGTCTTTGGAAGGAAATGATAAGGTCAGACCTTGTCCCAGCTTTATATACACAGAACCTTCCAGAGGCCTGCTGAGGACAGCTGCAGCAGGCTTTTCCTCAATGGCCCTGTTATCATCTGGCAAAAGCAGACCCCAAGTGCCTGCAGCCTTGCTTGGGGCAAAAGAAAGGGCTGAGACTTGAGGATTCTCCCTTCCTTCCTCCCTCTCCCCTCCCTCCTTCCCTCCCTCCCTTCCTCTCCCCTCCCTCCTTCCTCCCCTCTCTCCCTCCTTCCCTCCTCTCCCTTCATCCTCCCTCCCTCTCCTCAAATTCCCCTCCTTTTTTTTCTGTTCCAACAACTTGAACTATAATACTTGGGGTAGGAAGAAATTCAGTCAAATGTAAAGACACTCAGACCATAGGAAAACACCGTGTTCAGGCACAGGCCACCTGAGCCCACTCAGACAAAGCTAGACTAGAGCTGGGCCCTGAGCCGCTGGGCCTTGGGCACCTGAGAGTCAGCAGGGTAGGAGCAGTGACTGGGCTTGGGCTTCTGGAAAACAGAAATGGCCCAGGAAGGGGTGTTCAGTGACTTCCAAGGGCAGACGTGAACCAAGGTCGTCCACTACAGACAGTGCCCCTGGGGCAGCAGGAACAACCCCATACCCAAGTCTACACTGGTGAGTTAATCACCCAGTGAGGTGGCGGCTCCGGCTCCGGGAAGCTGCATCCTTGGAGATCCTCGCAGGCAGCTACAGGAAGCAAGACTCCTCTCCCGGCAGGGTCCTGCTGCAAGTAGAAGCTTCCTGAGTGGGAGTAGGAATCCTGCAAGTCCACCTGAATCCTGTGCTCTTCCCTCCTCCCAGGAGGGAGTATCCCATGAGAGAACAGAGCTAGAAACAAAACGGAGAGGATTGGTATTTATGGGCGGATGCTGGGACAGAAAATAGTTCCAGGCCAGATTTAGTCTAACTAACCTGGCCCTTCACACACCGCTGTTTCCTGGGAAGAACCTACCCAATGCTGATCTGCTTAAAGTCGGCCCTCTCTGTACTTTGGCTGATCCCATTGCAGAGAGAGGGCTGGGTCGGGGGTGCTACCGCGCCTGGGGATGTAGTTCCGACTCTGCCCTTGGCAATGCTGCGGTCAGCTTCCTGCTTTAACAGTGGTAAGACCCAGGCAGCAGAGTGCACTGTGATGGTTAGGGTGTGGTGTGTAAAGTCCCAAACACTCGATCGGGCCAGCAAGGCGGATAAGGGCACCTGTGGCTAAGCTGGACGACCTGAGTGTGATCCTTGGGACATTCATGGTGGAAGGAGAGAACTGGCTCCCTCAAGACTCTCTTTGGCCGGGCGTTGGTGGCCCATGCCTTTAATCCCAGCACGCAGGAGGCGGAGGCAGGCGGATCTCTGTGAGTTCGAGGCCAGCCGGGTCTTCAAAGAGAGTTCCAGGACAGCCTCCAAAGCAATACAGAGAAACCCTGTCTCGAAAAACAAAAAAATAAGTAAACAATTATAAATGAGATGTGTTCTGACCACATGTTGCAGCGTGTGCAATTACATGCACACACACATAAATGATAGACAGACAGACAGATAGATGTACTTTTTTTTTTACCCACGTAAGGAACCCTGGTGTGGGACTGCCTGTTGAGAGTGGTGGCTCTGAGGACGTTGAGGTGACCCCTAGAGTCACAGCCAGTCAGCCTGGACTACCCAGAAACTTCCAGGACCGTGAGAGATGGTAGGAAGTGCACAACCTGCGCACACACACACCACACACAGCTAGCTGGCTCTGTCCTGAGGAGAACCGACCTTCCCACACCTTGGTGACAGGAGGTAGCTTGGTGCCAAGGTCTGAAGCCCCTGCGCCCCGAGAGAAATTAGGAGACGGGGCTGTGTGGCTGACTGCTCACATTTCCAAATCACAATGCCCGGGTCCTGGAGAAAAGTGTTCCTACCAGACACAGTGAAGCAAAGGCCCAGCACCTTCAAAAGGACTCCCACATTCAGGGAGGAGCAATTATTTACAAATTTCCTAAAAGAGAAAGGGGGCAGAGAAAAAGGACCTTCCTGTGGTTTCAACAGGCTGGATTAAGCCTCCTAGCCTTCGTTTCTTATTGGTTCTTAAACACGTGGCTTTGTGGGGAGTCTCTGCCAATGCTATGGCCAGCAGAGTAGTGACCCTCATGGGAAACTGGATTCAACACCACAGAGTTATCTGGTGCTGGCTCCAGTTTCTGGAGTCTGACCCTGGGCAGACTGTTGTCAGCATATTTAACAGCAGTACAGTTTGGGGGGGGGGAATAAAAGCTTCCCGGTAAAAGTGATCTTAACCCAGGTGCACAATAAATCTTTGACTGTGAAGACGGGCTCTGTAACGTAAGTGTGCCTACATCTGTGGCTGTGAAGTTGGGCTTTATAGCTTAAGGGCTGAGGGTCTGGTGTGGCCTCGGTCATACAGACAGCAGAGGGGTCACCAGCCTACAGAGTACATGCGGCATCTCCCCCAAGGATGGGTTCTACTGTCTGAGAAGCAACGATAAAGATAAAGTTCTGGGAGGGAGAGCCTGGGTAAACACAATGGCTGGGGGATTCGGTGAGCCCTGACCCTGCAGATGGCACTGGCCACCCGGCTACACACTACATCCATTCCCAGCCTTCTGGGTGGGAAACAGGCACACACAGCCCCTCCCCCGCAGACAAGCCGTGTGTGTGTGTGTGTGTGTGTGTGTGTGTGTGTGTGTGTGTGTGTAACACTCCCGGTTTCCCCAGAGCTTGTCTGTGAGCATGAGGACTTAATTAGCGTGGGCTTGGTGGCTCATAACTTTAATACCAGTAGCCAGGAGACTCAGGCAGGGGGATTGCAATGAGTTTGAGGCCAACTGAGGCTAAATAGGGAGTTCTGGGTCAGTATGGATGATAGTAGGAGACCCTGTCTCAAAAACTCCTACAGTAACTACAATTTTGTTATTAAAAGGCTGTTTCTCCATTGCTTAAAAAGGTGATAAAAATATTTGTTTTAAATTTTCACAGCCTGTTTTGATAGAAATAAACAAATACCACAAAGCGCTTTTAAAAGGAAAAGGGAGGGAGAGGTGCCAAACCCCAAATAATGGTGTGTTCTAGAAGGGAGGTAGCTCCTTTACCCAGGGGGTCCTGTAGTTCCCTTTAGATTTCCCTCGATGGTGGTTTTTTTTTGGGTTTTTTGGGGCAGTGTACCTTTGATCTGGGTTAAACCGGGATGGATAACATGTCATGGTACTTTACATGAGCTCATGGCTAGAGGAACAGAGAGTCCATCAGTCAGCCAACTTGTACAGAAATATGGGTGGCAACTGTAAAATGTCCCTCCTGCTGCAACCTCTTCTCTCTCTCTGTACCCGGAGACAGGCGTGATAGATGGATGGATAGATGGATGGATGGATGGATGGATGGATGGATGGATGGATGGATGGACGGACGGACGGATGGACGGACGGACGGACAGACAGATGGAGGCTGTCAGAGACTCTCTTAGAAGAGTCTTTGTAATGCAAACATGAGAACGTGCGTTCAAGCCTCAGAGCAAACTAGAGAGCCACACTTAGGTGTTATGAGAAGCTTTTTCTTTTGCTAGCCGCTTTGGTTTATCCCCCGCCAGTCGCCTGGGCTCTGCCGCGCCAGCCTGGTTCTAGATCCGCATGAGTCCCAAATAAACACACAGGAGGCTATATTCATTATGAAGCTGTTGGCCTTGTTTGTCTCTTACTGGCTAGCTCTGCCTTAAGTAATTACCCCATAATTGTTAATCTAAGTATGTTTCTTACCGGAGAATAGTTCCCGGCGTCCTACCCCCATGGCGTCACATGTTGACTCTCTTGTGTTTCCCCTTCCCAGAATCCTCCTCGATTCCTAGTCCCTCCTATCTAGGTTTTCTATTGGCCAGACAGTACTTTATTGACAAATGCACAGGCAAATAACAGGACTTCCCCAACATTAGAGACCCAGGGACACTAATCGGAAGCTAAAGCAGGATGTGGAGCCTAAAGGGGGGGGCATCATAAGAGGATGCCAGGCAGAAGAAAAGAACGTGGCCGCCCAACAAGAAGGGAAGCAAGGAGCCCGGAGCTGATTGGAAGCCACAGGCGAGGGTGCCCCCACCCCAAGCACAGGGGAACTAAAAATAAAGCGGCCTGAGAAGGAAGCTGGCCCAGATGGGCAGTGGAGTGAGGAGGAAGCTTTATGAAGTGGGTCATACAGATGCCATTTCTATTTGGATCTAGAACAGTGGTTAAAATCTCCCTGGTGCTGTGACCCTTTAATGCAGGTCCTCACGTTGTGGTGACCCCCAGCCATAAGATCATTTTTGCTGCTACACCATGACTGTCATTCTGCTACCACTATGAATCGCAATGTAGATACCTGTGTTTTGCAATGTTCTTAGGAGACAGACTCCTGTGAAAGGGCCCTTCAGCCCCCAAAGGGTTGTGACCCACGGAATGAGAACCCCTGATCTAGAACATTCCAAGCTCCGCTGCTGGGCTCAACTCAGATTTCCCAACTCAACACCAGTTAGTAGAACCAGGGATTAACTGCCAGAGAGGATGGAGGCCTGAGAACGGCTCCCAGGGGGTTGTGGGAGGTTTTCAGTGGGCGTGTTTGTGCATGCGTGTGTGCATGTCTGTGTGTGTGTACATGTGTGTGTGCATGTGTGTGTATGTTTGTGCATGTGCATGTGCACACACACACACATGAGGACCCATGTGCGTTCATTCAGAGCCCAGAGAAAGACACCAAGTGTCCCGCTCTGTCTCCCTCCACCCTATTCCTTCGGACAGGGTCTCCCCCTGACTGGAGCTAGGCTGGCAGCCAGCAGACCCCAGCAATCCTCTGCCTCCACCCGCCACAGTGCTGGCTTATAAGTGTGTGCATGCTCGGGTGAACCTGTGTGCACATGTATGTACATGCATGAGGAGGCCAGAGGTCAATCTCATGTGTCCTTCCTCAGCTCCGTCCACCTTGTTTTTAGACAGTTTCTCAACGGGACCTGAGGGTTACGATTAGGCCAGGCTGACTGGTCAGTGAGGTCCCAGGGATCTGCCTCCCCGGGGCTAGGGTTCCAAGCATGCACTGTCACACGTGTGTTGCTTTTGTCATGTGGTTCTGGTTATCTTCATATCTCAACCTTTTACTAGCTGAGCCCATAGGATTCGTGTTCTTGCCTGAGTTGCAAAGCACAGCCATTGGTGCTCAGCCAACACCAGCAACCACACACACACACACACACACACACACACCGTATGCTTCCTGCAGCCCTGAAGTGAGAGCCGCTGAGAGAATCCTGCAGAGGAGTACCTTGTTGGATTTTTTTTACACCATTTTATTAATTTACTTTTTACATTCCAATCCCAGTTCCCCCTCCCTCCTCTCCTCCCGCTCTCCCTACTCCTCCCTCCTCCCATCTGCTCCATGGGAGAGGGTAAGGCCTCCCCTAGGCAGTCTACAAGTCTGTCCCATCATCTCATTGAGGCAGGACCAAGGCCTCTCTCCACCCCCACACCCGTGTCCAGTCTGAGCAAGGTATCTCTCCGTATAGAATGGGCTCTACTAAGTCAGTTTGTGCATTAGTGTTAGATCTTGGACCCACTGCCAGTGGCCTCATATATTGTCCCAGTCACACCATTGTCACCTATATTAAGGGAGTCTAGCTCCGTCTTATGACCTTGTCAAACTTTTACCTTTGCTTTCTCATGCCTACTGCTTCCAAGGAATGCCTGCATTGGGGCAGGCCTCTGATCTCAGGCTGGCCTCTGCCTTATTGTGTAGCTCAGGCTGGCCTCAAACTGAAGATCTCCCTGGATTCCTGGGGATATATACTCCAGCTGCTGCCAGGAATCCCTAGCATAAAAATCTTAGGGGACCCTGGGGGAAGAAAAGGCTTGCTCAGGTCAGACCAGAAAGCCCCTTTGTGTAGCTGTCAGCGGGAGGAAGACTCGGGGAAGGGAGGCATTCTTCGCTGATGCGAGGTTTCCATCTGGAGGGGAGTCCTCGTGCTCTGGGGCTCATCTGCTGGTGCCGGTTTGAGCTGACACAGATTCTGAGCCCCTTCCAGGTAGATAAAAGTGATGCACACATGTGTGTCACGTCTGACTCATGCAGCTGAGTCAGCACTGCTTCTCGAAATCTGCCTAGAAGACACGGCTGAATTTCTGGTACAGGGTGTCTGTCCCACCAACAGACATGGCCGCTGTGACGAGTGAGGAAGGACTTTTCCCACACTGTTGTGGCTGTGGATGGCTGGTCAGCCCCTGCTGGGACCCCATGTGGTAAGGTTTACCTCACTCCTCCAGGTCTCACTTCTTCTACTCATTACTCATTCACTCACTCACTCAATCACTCACTCACTCACTCAATCACTCACTCACTCACTCATTCACTCACTCATTCACTCACTCACTTCATTCACTCATTCACTCACTCACTCACTCACTCAGCACACCAGGTCCCTCCAAAGCTCTCCAAGTCTAAGGGCCCAGGACCCACAGCCACAAAAGATATCCATATTCCCTCTGTAATTCTACAGGAAGTGGACTACTGGAAGGCAACCTTTCTTGGAACCCGTCGTTGTATTGTCATTTTAATTTTTCATAAAAAATCCATATTTTCGTTGATTTTTCAAAATTGAAAGCCAGTCACTAAAAATGCTTTCCAAATGCAGAGTGCTCCCACGGCTAAGAAAAAGATGCCAGCATATGTAGTAAAAACTGAATCTCCTTTTCCCTCTCCTTTAGTCTCCGGCATTGCCCCCTGATACTACGGTCCCCACCACCAGCTTGTCCCTCTCCACACAACCCTTTCCAACCTCTACACAAATGGCTGTATCCTGCCTCCAGGGGACCTCCCGTGGAGCTCAGGGTTTGTCTTGAAGCAGGTGTTTGGTGTTGTGTCACTCAGACCCACCGTAGTTCAGTTTGCTCTGTCTGGACTGAATAGAACTTCACGAAGGGGGTCTTACTCAGATCCACTGTAGTTCAGTTTGCTCTGTCTGGACTGAATAGAACTTCACGAAAGGGTCTTTCTCTCCTCCACTTTCAAAATAAGCAGGAACTGGTGTACTTTCCATGTCAGTGGAAAAAAGTAATGTCTTTAAATACCAAATTTCCAGCAAGTCCAGGGCCCACTGACGCATGAGTCTCCGCAGCTAGCTTGGGCGTGTCTAAAGGTCGGAAGGACTCTGCAAGGACCTGTTGTGGGTAACACATTGGGATAGACTCTTTCCCTAGAACGGCTCATGGCCAATCACGACACTGAACCCCAGGCCTGTAGAGGGACCTCTAAGCCCAAAGGCTCCAACCTCTGTGAGTCCACAGAAGCTGGGGACTGGGAGACAGACCCTAGGCATGAAGAGGCAGAATGGGGACTCCTGACTTTGGCTTCCTCATAGGAGAAGGAGGAAGAATGTGACCGTCATGGGGCCCCTCATTTGTGACCTCCAAGGGTCTGCTTTCATATCGCTGCACGTATGTCTTGCCATGACAGGGAAGATAAGCCTCCCATATTACAAGCCTCCTGGGCTATGTAACAACCCCTACTTGTTCACCCGTCAACCACACACATATGAAATCACATGTTTTAGGGTTTTTCATTTATTATTTGTGACTCACTCGATTATTTTTTGAGACAAAGTCTCAAATATCCCAGGTTGGACTGAAGCTTGCTGTGCAGCCAAGGGTGAGGTGAGCTAGCCTTAGACCCTGACCCTCCCTCTCCCCCTCCATCTCCTAGTTGCTGGGATTAACGGGAATATCCTAGCAAGCTTAGTTTGTGTGGTGCTAGGGATGGAACCCAAGGCTTTGTTCTTTCTAGGCAAGCACCGTAACCACACAGCTGCGTCCCCGGACCTGAGGTGATAGCTGCTGAGTTCAGAAAGTGCTGTGAGGCAGGGGCTGGCAACGGCCAGCTTGAATGTTGCTCGCTGAGGAGGGCAGCAGAGGACAAAGGTCCTGCCTGCCGCTTGACACAATGCTCGCCCGCGCTCTTCCTGGAGTTGAGAGTTCCATCACAGCCTGAGATGGTCCAGAGCAGACCCCCCTCAGCCCAGTGCATCAGGAAAGAGGCCGACTGAGATGTGGAACACCCAGGGAGGTGGTGCAGGAAGGAGCCATGGGTGGGCCTGCGTGAAACCATCTCAAGCAGGGTTCGGTGGGTGTGGAAACCCCCGCTGTTAAAAACCGTGAGCTCTGCTTTCCGTTTCAGTGGGGAAGCCCTGAGATTCCCTCAGACTTCTGAGGGTTCCGTCTGTGGTTTCAAGAGGCAGACCAGGAGGCCCAGGGGAGCAGTACGGATCGAGCAACCAGTACATCCTGGTTGGGAATCAAATGGGAAGGGGACAAGTTTTATTATCCAACCTGTGGAGAAATCTCCTCTTTTCCCATTATCGCCCGTAAGGAAATAGGAAGAAGATAAGGTTAGGGCTGGGGAGATCCCAATATTTTAGCCACTCAAGCCAAGGGCAGCAGGCTGGCTGAACCCGATTAGGTCAGCCGGTCCTTCCGTGAGTACAGAGCCACCTGGGTCGCAACAATGCTTGTGCTCTTCGCCTCGGGCTGTGAGATGGCCAGTCCAGTGTGACGAGGATGGAGGCATTTTCCACACAGTATTAAACCCAGGGGAGTCCTGGGTACCATGAAACAGGAGTGTGGGACTATGATGGTTATTCTCCTCCTGACTGGTGACCAAACACCCGACAAGAAGTGGCTTATGGGAGGAGGAAGTTACAGGCTCTTCTGCGATGGACCAGGCCGGGGCTGTCTGTCCGCAAAGCCGCTTGTTTTTAACTCCAGGCTGCAAACCTTTTTTCTCTCAGGAAAGCATCTCTGTGATCTTAGCAAAAACTTGTCAGAACCCAACGCGAGCTTTCTGAACTCAGCAGGTGTGACACTCCCTCCTCCCCCAAACGAGGTGACAGGATTGTTCTGGCAGCAGGTGGGGGGCATGGTGGCAGGAGTGCCAGCTGCTCACAATGCATCTGCCAGGCGGAAAGGAGACAGATGTGTCACAACTCTGCTCACATACCCAGCCTGTGAAACGGCTCCATCCACATTTGGAGTTGGTTGTTTGCTTTGCTTTTTGTTTTCTCTGAGACAGGGTTTCCCTGTGCAATCCTGGCTGTCCTGGAACTCCCTCTGTAGACCAGGCTGACCTCCAGCTTGGATATATGCCTGCTTCTGTCTCCTAAGTGTTGGGATTAAAGGTGCACACCACCACTGCCCAGCTAGAGTGGGTCTTTCTAACTTGTAAAAATCCCTCGCATAGGGCTGGAGAGATGGCTCAGTAGTTTAGAGCATTTGCTGCTCTTTCAGAGGACCCGGGTTCAATTCCCAGCACCCACATGATGACTCACACCATCTGTAACTCAAGTTTCAGGGAACCCGACACCCTCTTCCGTTCTGGATGTCAGACACACACACACACACACACACACACACACACACGTGTGTGTGTGTGAGCGCGCGGCGCACAAATATACATGCAGGCAAAGTATCTGTACACACAGAACAAACAAGTCTTCACAGAGATTATAAATTAGTAACAAAGTATCTGTACACACAGAACAAACAAGTCTTCACAGAGATTATAAATTAGTAACAAAGTATCTGTACACAAAAACAAACAAGTCTTCATAGAGATAATAAATAAGTAACAAAGTATCTGTACACACAGAACAAACAAGTCTTCACAGAGATTATAAATTAGTAACAAAGTATCTGTACACAAAAACAAACAAGTCTTCATAGAGATAATAAATAAGTAACAAAGTATCTGTACACACAGAACAAACAAGTCTTCACAGAGATTATAAATTAGTAACAAAGTATCTGTACACAAAAACAAACAAGTCTTCATAGAGATAATAAATAAGTAACAAAGTATCTGTACACACAGAACAAACAAGTCTTCACAGAGATTATAAATTAGTAACAAAGTATCTGTACACAAAAACAAACAAGTCTTCATAGAGATAATAAATAAGTAACAAAGTATCTGTACACACAGAACAAACAAGTCTTCACAGAGATTATAAATTAGTAACAAAGTATCTGTACACAAAAACAAACAAGTCTTCATAGAGATAATAAATAAGTAACAAAGTATCTATACACACAGAACAATCAAGTCTTTATAGAAATTATGAATAAATAACAAAGTATCTGTACACACAAAATAAACGAGTCTTTATAGAAATTATAAATAAGTAATCCGCTCCATCACAGACATGCTGAGATATTTGTTTCCATGGTAATTCTAAATCTCATCAAAGAGTGACGAGATGCAAGGCAAGCACTGGTCATGCAGGAGATTCAGTCAGGGTAGCCCCAGTGTCCGGGGAGCCCCCGTGCCAGGGTATTAGCCCCCAACCACCTGTAACTCCAGCTCAGGAGATCCACAATCCTCATCAGGATTCCACAAGTATCTGCACTCACACGTGTGTTCTCCTACACACAAACGCACATACACATAATTTTAAACGAATACTAAAAAAAAAAAAAGCAGCCTTGACTCCCAGCCCTCAGGAGACAGAGGCAGGTGGATCTCTGTGAGTTGCAGGCCAACCTGGTCTACATATCACATTCCAGGGCAGCCAGGGCTACATATGGAGAGCCTGTTTCAAAAATAAATAAATAGATAGATAAACACATAAATAAATGTTTTAAAAGCTAGCATGAGTGAAGATGAAATTTAGCGGACCCCAGCTCATGTTTGCTCCCCCTGTGTGCCCCACACAGCCAGAGAGAACTGCAGTCCTCTAACGCGGTCGTGTTGTTTCCCCGCCTGGTCCAGGCTCCACCATGCCGACCTTCCCCCCAGAGCTGGATGTGGAGAACTTCGAGTATGATGAGTCTGCTGAGGCCTGCTACGTGGGCGACATCGTGGCCTTCGGGACTGTCTTTCTGTCCATCTTCTACTCCCTCGTCTTCGCCTTTGGTCTGGTGGGAAATCTTTTGGTGGTACTGGCCCTCACCAGCAGCCGGAAGCCCAAGGGCATCACCGACATCTACCTCCTGAACCTGGCCTTGAGTGACCTGCTTTTCGTGGCCACCTTGCCCCTCTGGACTCACTATATCGTCAGCGAGGAAGGCCTCCACAACGCCGTGTGCAAGCTCACCACTGCCTTCTTCTTCATCGGCTTCTTTGGGGGCATATTCTTCATTACCGTCATCAGCATCGATAGGTACCTGGCCATTGTCCTGGCCGCCAACTCCATGAACAACCGAACGGTGCAGCATGGTGTCACCATCAGCCTGGGCGTCTGGGCGGCAGCCATCTTGGTGGCGGCGCCCCAGTTCATGTTCACAAAGAGAAAGGAAAACGAATGTCTGGGTGACTACCCCCAGGTCCTGCAGGAAATCTGGCCCGTGCTCCGCAACTCGGAAGCCAACATCCTGGGCTTCCTGCTGCCGCTGCTCATCATGAGTTTTTGCTACTTCCGGATCATCCAGACGCTGTTTTCCTGCAAGAATCACAAGAAGGTCAGGGCCATCAAACTCATCCTCCTGGTGGTGGTGGTCTTCTTCCTCTTCTGGACGCCGTACAACATCGTGATCTTCATGGAGACACTCAAATTCTACAACTTCTTCCCTAGCTGCGACACCAAGAGGGACCTGAGGTTGGCGCTCAGTGTGACGGAGACAGTGGCGTTCAGCCACTGTTGCCTGAACCCTCTCATCTACGCCTTTGCTGGGGAGAAGTTCAGGCGGTACCTGGGACACCTGTACAGGAAGTGCCTGGCTGTCCTGTGCGGCCGTCCTGTCCACGTCAACTTCACGCCGGAATCTCAGAGAAGCCGGCAGGAGAGCATCCTGAGCAGCTTCACTCATTACACGAGTGACGGAGACGGCTCGCTGCTGCTCTAAAAGGCTCTCCTGGCTCCACCAAGAACCCAGAGTTCTTGACTCTGGCTCTGCCTTAGGAGGACGGACTTGCTTTTCCAGCTGTGTCTTATGTGCGAGAGACGCCTACAAAGCAACCCCACGGTGTTTTTGAAAATTTTATGTTCAATTCGAGAAAGGCACACACATCTCTTACTGTAAACGCTGAACACTGGGCTTCCAAGTGACAAAGCTTCTAACCCGATTAACATAATGACATAGGGCTTGGTGAGGGTTGTTAACAAGATCTTGTGGGTAAGGGGGGGGTGATTAAATCTCAGGCTGAGTGGAAACCAAGGTTTGAGTCCAGCTAGAATGCTCCCTCCCCAACCTTGAGATCTTTGAGTAGTGACAGGTCATCCAGGCCCACATTCCAAAGCTTTGACACCAGAGAAGGACCTTGTCTCTGATTTCAAGGTCAACATTCCCAGGGAGGGGCATCCATTGGCCGAGATATGTCACGTGACCGTCCCTTGATTAGTTGGTGGCATTGAGATAGAACTGATCTAAGATATTGTTGGAACCTCAAGGCTAGAGGTTGAGGGGGTGGGAACTACCGCAATGAGACAGGAAAAGAGTAGGGCTGACTCAGGCTCTCCCTCGGCAACCAGCCCGTGTCTACGGCCAAGCTTCTTCATTAACTGTCTTGAGGATGTCCTGAAAACTTCAAGGGCCAGGCCCGTGTGTTTTCATTCGATGTAGTGAGCAGTGGGGGCCCTTGAAGTAGATAAGATGCAGTTCTAAAAATAGACTCCGCGTTGTCTCTTCCTTCCCAAAGGACTCCACCCAAGCTGCTGCCGGGTCCCTTCTTTTCGTCTTCTCCCAAATCCCTCCACTTCTCTCACCCCCCCCACCCCAGGGGGTGGGGAGATAGAATCTCTCTCCAGACTGAAGGGATGGATTCATATCCCAGCTCTGTCACTTACACATTGGGGAGACCGGAGCCAACAGAGCTTCGGCCCCCTCATCCCCTCATCTGCAGAAAGGGCGCAGTGGCAAGTCAGCCAGGAATGTAGCTTTGCCTGTCTCTGGCCCTGTTGTCCTGCCTCTGTTCAGGTAGACCGAGAGGAGCCTGCAGGGAACAGCCAGGTAAGAGGAGACCCATAGCTACAGAGATGGTCAACAACACCTAGATCGACCGACCCATATCCATCTCCCTGCTGTCAACCATGACCCAGGCTTGCTTTCTGCCTCCACCCTGAAAGCATCAGGTGATCTAGCCACCTGTGTTCACCGACTGGGGCCTCGTTTAGAATCTGACCTTGAGAATTCCAGGGCAGTATGGTTTTATAACCTGCTAAATAAATAAATAATAAAAAAATAAATAAACACTGGATTAGGGCTGGAGAGATGGCTCAGCCGTTAAAGGCTAGGCTCACAATGAAAAACCACTGGATTCCAAATTGCTCTCTGTTCCTGTGCAGCACTGCAGTAACCATTCGAGAAGTCTCTCCCAGATGGTGGCCTCATTGAGGAAGTTGTGGCATGTGGCTCATTGTGGTGTGTCTGACATCTCCTTGGCAGTCTGCATGTTTGTGTCAAGGATGCAAGCATGGTCCAGCATTTTGACACTGCAACATGATGCTGTCTTCTACAAAGGTCACAAATGAGGATCTCAAAATTGAGTTACCAAAGTAGGGGGCCTAGAAAGATGGCTCAGTGGTTCAGAGCACCGGCTGCTCTTCTAGAGGACTGGGGTTCCATTCCCAGCACCCACTAATAATTGGTCTATAACTCCAGTTCCAGATGATCCAACACCCTCTTCTGGTTTCTGAGAGCACCAGACATGCACAGACAATAAATGCACACAAAATAAGTAAAAAAACAACAAAAAGACTATTTGGTTTTTCAAGACAGACTCTCTCTATGTAACCCTGGCTGTTCTAAAACTTTCTATGTAACCAGGCTGGCCTAGAACTCACAGAGATCCACCTGCCTCTACCTCCCAAGTGCTGGGATTAAAGGTGTGTGCCACCATGCCAGGCTCAGTAAATAAATTTTTTTTAGTTTTGAAAATATCAAATGTTTTCAGTAAATTTATGATTTGGTGTTGCTCCATATTCACTGCTATCCTGAGTCACATGGTTAGACACACCTACATTACGTCTATTTTACTTGTAATTCTGTTGATAAACGTTTGGTTTCCTTCCCATTTTTAGCAAATACAAATCTCACAGCACTTTAATCTGTGGTGTTTTCCTCTTCCTGTTCAGTTATTTCTATCAGATATATTCTCTGCAGTGGGGATAACTGGACCAAAGGGCATGGGAACTGTTTTAGATCTTCTCTCCAAGTGTTTTATCAAAAAGCAAAGCCTGCCCACGCCTTTAAATCACAACACTCATGAGGCAGAGGCAGGCTGATCTCTGTGAGTTCAAGGTCAGCCCGGTCTACTGAGTGAGACCCTGACTTTAAAAAAAAAAAAAAGGAAAAAATGCAAAGCTCTATAGGGAAGGCCAGCAAGTCATCTGAGCCTAAAACATCTTCATCCTGACTAATCGGGAAGTGATGATGTACGTCTGTAAGTCTGTCAGACACAGGCATCTTGTCTCTGCATCGCCACCTGTATTGACAGCCACAGTAAGAGCCCTTTCAGGTTTCTTGAAAAATTTTAACCCTGACTGATCATTGTGTGTGTGTGTGCACACGTGCGTGCACACAAAGGAATTCAGAGGCAGAAGTTGGGGCTCTCCTTCCACCACGTGGGTCCTGGGGTCAAACTCAGGTTGTGTGGCTTGGTGGCAAGCGTCTTTATCTGAGGAACCATCTCTCCAGCCCCCATTTAGTTTCTGACGCATATGTATGACCTTCATTTGCTGACGACAATTTGTTGCAAACCTTTATGGTGCACATGTTCTACACGACATAGGAGCTGGAATCCAGAGACTTTCCAAGGCAGTGAGACCATGCCTCTGCCCTCAGTGGTTTCAGTTTTTGAGATGGCTTCTCACTATGTACCCCTGGCTGGCCTGAAACCTGGAGATCCGTCTGCCTCTGCGTCTGAGTGCAGCCATTTCGGGTGTGCCTAGCACACCAGGATGGATTTCTGTAGACGAAGAGGCTGGACTGTGCTTGCTTGCTGTGTAATGGCTCGGAGATAACAACATTTGACCCGAGACTTGCGCGCTAAGAGTTTCTCCTGTAGCATGATAAATAAGAGACTCCAAGCTGAAGATCAGAAAAGCAAAGCAGCCAGCCATTAGTTCTCACCTCTCCCTCAGGCTGGAAGGGCCGATCCACGAGCTCTCCGCCAAGCCTCAGACTGCTGCCTCTCCTCAGTGTAGCTGGAGAAAATCCCACCAGCTCTCCACCAAGCCTCAGACTGCTGCCTCTCCTCAGTGTAGCTGGAGAAAATCCCATCAGCTCTCCACCAAGCCTCAGACTGCTGCCTCTCCTCAGTGTAGCTGGAGAAAATCCCACCAGCTCTCCACCAAGCCTCAGACTGCCGCCTCTCCTCAGTGTAGCTGGAGAAAATCCCACCAGCTCTCCACCAAGCCTCAGACTGCCGCCTCTCCTCAGTGTAGCTGGAGAAAATCCTGAGGCTGAGCAGACTGAAGACCCTGCTCCTGTCTTTTATATTTCTCTAGTGCTGGAATTAAAGACGTGTGATGCCAAGGACTGAGATCATCCTTGTGTGAGCTGCTTCTCTTAGCACTGGGTCAATCTTGTGTAGTCAGTGTAGCCTTGGACTCACAGAGATCCATCTACCTCTTAATTCTGGGTTCCGGGATTAAAGGTGTGTGCCTGGCTTCTATGGCTTGTGGCTAACTTTGCTTCCTGAATCCTCAGGCAAGCTTTAATAAATCATAAATAATATATCGCTACATTCTCCAGGTAAGGAAGGATGTGTGGTGCCGGGAGGGACGGGTGTGAATTCATGTGAGAGAGAGCACGAGGCTCTTAGAAACACCAGCTAAGCATGCAAAGACCAAAAGGCAAGACATCAGTTCACAGCTGGAGGGACGGTTCTTGACCTGGCATTGCCCTTCGTGGGGTTGACTCGTTCAGCAGGAGGGGGCAGCTCTCCTCTGGTGTCCAAGCCGTTTCCAACCCTTCAAGGCCAAACCCTCATTCCAACGGTTTTGCCTTGAGACTTTTCATTAAAACTGAACCTGTTTCTAGACTCCTGTGTAGGGAAGAGTTCTTCGGACCTAAGAAACAAAAGGAGGGAAGCAAATATTTTCTTTTCTGCAAACAAATCAACTGCTCTGAGCAAGTGAGATGGGTCAGCAGATAGAGGGCTTGTCATCACGCCTGTCAGCCTGAGTTCAACCCTCAGGGCTTACACGGTGCAAGGAGAGAGACAACTTCCACTTAGCTCCACACAGGTGCTGTAGCACGTATGCTCAAGAGCATACATGTGCATATGCACGCATGTGCGCACTAAAAATTAAAATAGTAAGTCGGGATCCTCCCATTCCCTTTGCAGAACAGGACAGGATGGGACGAACACGAGGAATTCCACTGCAAATCCCCACGGTAAGGACACATTGGGAGTAGTTGGCGGTTGGCGCATTAGTGGATCAGACCCAGCGCTGCCTCTGAGCTCTGGGTTCCAGAATGCAGGGGATGGTGGTGCACTCCGAAGGAGGGAGATTGTGACAACCCAGCACTTACCCTGAGGCTGTCAGCAAGTCCCTACCCTCTCCGAGGCTCCATGCTCTCAGAGAGAGAAAGAAACACAGCGCGCCCCCTCCCACATGCTAGGACTGTGGGGTTGTTAAGACACCTCTAGATTCACATCCGGCTACGAGAGCTCAAGCAAGAGTGGCCCTGCTTTTCCTGGTCCTCCTCCCTGCAGGACGGCACACCCACTCTTCATTTTCCTTAGTTGCAGTGCAGAAGTAACTGGGTCCAAATGCACACTTGGACCAGGCTGTCTTTTTGTAATGGGTTGGTTGGGGCAATGTGTATGTATCTGTGTGTGTCTGGGGGGTGAGTGGTTGTGTGTGTGTGTGTGTGTGTGTGTGTGTGTGTGTGTGTGTGTGTGTGTGTGTGTGTGTGTGTGTGGTCAATTGCAGGTTTCATTCCAGGAGTAATTCATGTTGGTTTTTTAAACAGCCTGAGTGTTTCTCTCTCTCTGATTGGCGTCTGGGTTTCACCAATTAGGCTAACCTGGCTGGCCAGGAGCCCAAGGATCTGCCTGTCCCCAACTCCCCTGTACAAAGACAACCTGTTCGGGGCAGCCTTTTACACTTGGGGTCAAACTCGGGTCCTTGAACTTGCACAGAGGACACGCCACTGACTGAGTTACTTCTCCAGCCCCCCAAACACACACGTTGTAGCTAAAGAAAAGGTGGCCAGTCGAGACCCATAGCAAACTCCTGAAAAGACAGGTCCTAACCTCCCCATGTGTCCTGCTTGATGGCAGTACAGGCCGTCTGGCTTCTAGGAACAGAGAGGGTCTGAGGGGCGTGGCCACGGAAAGGCTGAGGCATTCGCCCTGACTTCAGTCTTCATCATGTGCTGCAGCCGTCAATGACATCTCTATATTTAGTGACAGATGACACGCACGGACCGTAGACACAGACGGCAGGGAGAGCTATGCCCAGGCGCTGTCCACTGTTCAGGCTGAATGCCAAGTCCACTCACTTCAGTCCAAGCTCATTCAAGGATGTTCTACAGAGTGGACCCCTACCTCCCTACCCTCCCACCTCCCTACCCTCCCACCCACCCTCCCGCACCCCCACCCCCACCCTCTCACCGCCACCCCCTGGGGTGAGAAATATGGACAGGGTATACTTTCCGTTCCCGGGAGGAACTTCCGGTTCACACCGTGCTTTGCAGCTGGGATGTGGTCAGGGTCTCCTGACTCTCTGTACGTCTCTCTGAAACGCTGTCCTTGAGTGCCCGGGGAAAGAGTCTACCTCTGGCCCATAAATGACAACCACACGCGGACACATGACAGCTCGATTGAGAGGCCCAACATGGGGACACCGAGTCCTGGGAGATCACATTCCTGCCCTCAAAGACTTCAGGGAACTCTTTCCTGACTCAGACCCTAATTTTCTTCTCCACTGCTTCCCACTCTTGCTCCTGGGGCCACTGCAGCTACATCTTGACTGGAAGACACTGTTTGCATAACTGGCTTAACAGGCAGCCTCATTTGGGACAGTCCCAATACTGATATACAAAAGTTGTTTCTCAGCACTTTTAGAAATAGCCAGTTTCCGCAGGTGGCGGCGGCGCACACTTGATCCCAGCACTCACTTTCATCCCAGCAGGGTCTTTGAAAGGATCAGAGAAATCAACCAATCAAAGAGTCCCCATTTGTTTTCTGGAGTCTGGGGTACTATGTCTCCATATCTCAATTGGTAAAGCGCTTGCTAATAAA